TTCTTGTTCATACAGGAAACGTAGGAAAACTCAGCCAAAGCCCACCCGTCCCACCAATGTTCTTGCTTTGAATTTTTAAAACAATGCATACATAGTGTATAACGCGTGTATGATACCTCTCCCAGGCCTTCGAAATAAATCATAGTAAGTTTGGATGAGTCTTCCTTCAGTACAGTTTCAGGCTCACCCATGGAGCCTGCGGTTGCTGCCTTACTTTCACCGCCATTACCATGACCCACTACTGACTCACAGGCTAACCAGAGACCCGTGCCAACTTCCTTGCACGTCGCGCTCTCACCACCACAACAACGGCATGCGTGAGGGTGTGTACTACGGAAACCGAAACTATCATTAACACATTCCTAAATGTCCTGTTTAAGGTCTCGGATTGAGCAAACAATTGGAAAAGTCGTGCATACACAAAGAGTAAAAAAAGTATCTGTGAAAAGACCCGAGTGATGTTACCTTCTGATACAAATACATTTGTTAGCATCAGTGGAACATAGCCAACTGATGATACGTGTCGCGTCACGTGACAGCAAGCGGAGGGGTTGCTAGAATAAACGAAAACAAATTTTAAAGTTTAAGAACTAATTGGTCGATCTACGAAATAAGTTTTATCTTCAAACGCGTAGGCATGTGAGATCATTACAAAGAGAAAGTAAACTATGAAACTGCACTTTCGTTGTTTTCTTTATACAGTTCGACGTCCGAGAGGCATGTGCTACTGCGTTCACTTTTGTCAGGATTATAGCTCCAAGTATGCTACTGAGGATGGAAGATTTTTTCATACCACTTCTGGTTTTGTCATACCACTATAAGTTATTTTCTTCTCAATTGAATTGGATACTTGGTAAACAATTCTCGCCTTTCAAGATGAGACCATGAGATGAGATTTCCTCGACGAACAGTAAGTATGCTACCAACGTTAAAAAGTGCTCAGCGATCTTTAGGTGTTTAATGCTTATCTGGACAAAGTGTTCATTTGCTTTTTTATCATCAACGTCACGTACAATGATCCCCACAAAAAATCACACCCCAAAATCAGCTTCTTACGACAAGTAGGCCTAGTGAATTTGCAGCAATTGTGTGAAAAGTGTTCCTCGCCCTGGTCTATCGCCGCGCCGCAGGTAAAAGGGGGCGCTGAAAATAACTACGCTGACCGAGAACCAATTGCTTAATAGTATTCGTAGGCAGACCAGCTCTCGAGGAGGCCATAAATCTGGCCAATTGTAAGCTGTCTAAACACTGAGACACGAGGAGTGCGAGGTGACCAATGGTTAATCCTGAGGGGAAGAATGTGTGTGTGTGTGTGTGGGGGGGGGGGTAGTGGCAACAACACAATGAAAATAAAAATGGAGCAGCACACTTAAAAAATGGCTCGAAAATATAGAATGAAACACCCAAAAGTATTTAGATAAACTGGAAAGAGTATCTAGCACCGGTAATCATGTAAAACTTATTGATAAAACAGACGTACCAATCAAACTGCCATTCAATAAAAAGACAGGAAAGGTATATATTCACAGCCGAAAAAAAGAAGATAAAGCGACGTATGAAGGAGACGTGAGTAGGCTAAGGATGATATACCAAGCGGTAAGACCACATTCATTATTTTAGCGCGGGCGCTTCTTCGTCACACTTCTTAAGTTTCACACTAAGTATCACTTATCATCTGCACATCAACTTAACTTTTGTTTCTCCTACACGATAAGTTACATTATTTCCTGGATCGGGCATAACTGGAGTGGCATTAACGAATGACTGACGAGGCTGTGCCACTGCCGGGCTCCCTCGTGGATTGCGAACAGGCAACTGGAGATTTACTTCACATTTCACTTGCCCCTTCTCACGCATGCATCATACATTCATGCATAACAGACACATACACACAATAAAGAAAAAGAAAGAAGAAAAAGATAATCACATATAAAAAGAAAGAGAGAGAGGAGAAGGAGAAGGAAAAGGAGAAGAGAGAGATGAAAAAAAGCATGAGGCAAGATACACACTGAGTTTTAGCGTGAGAGAGAGTACGAGGGATGGAAAGAGACGCGAAGGAGAGGAAATACGAAAACGGAGACGGAGAAGGAAGACAAGAATATGAAAGGACAAATAAACGGATGAGAGATGGCAGGTGAAAGAAGAGAAATGATAAATAACACCTTAATATGATTTCTGCGTCCTCATTATGTAAGACAACAACCAATAAAAACAATATCGAGAATAACTCAATTCCTTTTTTTCCTTTTCCCTGATCCTAAATGAAAACACAAGACGCCAAGCAAGGCACACAATGTGGCAATTGTCACGGTGCTGAGAGCGGCATCTGTCACGACCACCGAAACTTTCGAAAATGCTCCATTTCACTCCGATGCTCCCACAGTCTGTCACACATTCTCAATGATGTGTAGACCATGGTCTAGTAGTATTGTTATTTTTTTCCTAATATTTTTTTTCTTCGTTATTTATGACGTTATCTAGCAAAAAGGATATCCATGCAACATTTCCTAATTAATTTACAGTCTCTGTAAATACTGAGGATTCTTCCAACTTATCAACAACCACAGACGTTCTAGAGATTCTAGCGAAAATCGGCCCGGGAAGTCTGGATAATCTTGGTAGACTTGAATAATTTGTAAACAGCTATTACGTCAGCCGCAGACAACTTTGCTTATGCGATGTCATAAAAAGTCTTTCGACGATTTGTGGATAAAATACTTCATTACAGATAATAATATTGGTTGTGCAATTAAATAATATTTCCGGTCAAACTATAGACTGTATTCATCGAGTGCAGTCTTACAAAATGAGGGTACACTTATTCACTCAAGCTTCTTCCGAACGATAAGGTTCGTGCGCGTGAAACTAATCGATGCACCACGAATCTTCGCCGCCGCAGGCACATCCTGGGGCAAAAGGAACATTATGACAAATTTATTGGTGAGAAGATGCCTCTTTAATCATAGTATATGCAGTCAATAAAAGGGCAATTAATTCACGGGTAGGATGTCCTAATACATGCATCTACAAACAAAAAAGGCTGATAAAATACGAACAATGTTCATGCAAGACAAATCCTTGCTCAACCAATACTCCTTCTCCCAGCGGGAATGTTTTATAGTAACAAATTTGATAAACGAATTGGTAATCGATATATATGTATTCTCATTTATCTAAATATCTATCTACCTGTTTATCGATACTGCTTTTCAACGTTATCATTTTTATGAATTTCATAACATTCTTCTATGACAATTACTCTTCTGTTCGGCGACTTGTTCCCAAAATGGGATTCAATCACTGTTATGTCCCTCGCCTCGCAAACTTGCCAGACTTTTCTTCGTTTCTTTTGCTTAACTTTCGGTGCCTCTTCGATGCCGATGAGCACATCCTGGGCACTCGTAGGCAACGCGTGCATGTCGACTGCTCCTCCTGATTGCATGCGGATTGCCCTCGGGCTAACGGGAAAAAACGATAAGCGGAGTCTGATAGTTTTATATAACTGCTCTTTTAAGTTTTCTCCCTAAAGGGGAAAAACATGTGTGTGGTGTCTTCACGTGATGAAGGTCACTACTACTGCCATTCTAATCACCCTTTGGTAAACGCCTGGTTGTTATGCATTTTGATGATCTTGTCATTTGCTGAATGACTCTTGATTCAATTGCATACCCTTCGGAATAGTAATTAGTTTCTCGGATACTAGTAATGTAGACTCGCATGTAAGCCCAAGAACAAATTCCAAGTAGAAAAACGCGGTAGCTGTGTCAACAGTGACTTGCATTTCCCGCTTTTCACTCGGCTGCTTTGGGAAGGCGGCTCGGTGGCTCACGTCTCTCCGACGCGACTGCGCTCTAAGACAAATATCTAATGCCTGTCTGATAATGCAGTAACCTTATCAAAAGGAATTTGATATAGAGTGTAATAGACGTGCACAGCAGATAACATCATGTGTGTTGTTCTAACAAACAAAAAACAAACAAACAAACAAACACACATACACACACACACAAATATATTCATTTATTCATACACACACACACACGTGTGTGTGAATGTATGTGCATATGTTTGTATGTATATATACATGTGTGTGTGTATGTATGTGTACACACGTACACACACACACATATGTGTATGTATATATATATATATATATATATATATATATATATATATATATATATAAGTGTTTATGTATGTATATGTGTGTGCGTGCGTGTTTGTATATGTTATATTTATATGTATAAACATGTATGTATACATATGTATGTATGTATTTGTGGTGTGTGTGTGTTGTGTGTGTGTGTGTGTGTGTGTGTGTGTGTGTGTGTGTGTGTGTGTGTGTGTGTGTGTGTGTGTGTGTGTGTGTGTATGTATGTGTGTGTGTGTGTGTGTATGTGTATGTATGTGTGTGTGTATGTATGTGTATGTATGTATGTATGTATGTATGTATGATATATATATATATATATATATATATATATATATATATATATATATATATATATATATATATATAAAGCTACAGGGAACATTTAGCTGCGAAATAAGGCAGTGTCCTCGCAATACGCTAAACTAGTACATTCCTTTGCATGATGTCCCAGCAGACACAGCACTGGAGGCATAGGCGGTACTCCCTTATGGCTTTTCGTGTGCGGTGGGTTTGGGTTGCAGCTTGCAGGCCATACGAATCTTGTGGCCACGCAGGGAGATGAGGCTTTCCACACTACAACGCCAAGGGCAAACATCCAGTGAATATACTGGACACAGACAATATAACATAAAAACCGATTATTCCACAACGCTAATCAAATTCCCTGATTTCCATAAAAATTGCAGCCTTTTCCCTGACTGGAGAAAGGGACACTCATTTTCAAGGTTTCCCCTGATTTTCCCCATAAGCAGTGTCTTCAGACCTCATTCAACATGTTCCGCGGCGACGCATGACTTAAAAAATGTACGCCACACAAGTGAAAAACGAAGCGAATTCCTTTACTCAC